TTTTTTAATATTTTATTTATTTTTTAAAGTAGGCTCCACACCCAGCATGGGGCTTGAACTCATGACCTCACGATTAAGAGTCGCATGCTCTACCAACTGAGCCAGCTAGGCGCCTCTCTTCCTGCTTTTCTGATCACATTGTAACCTCTGGGCTCCCCTACCATCCTGTGTATATACCTGTCTTAAAGCTTTCTGTATCCTATTGAAATTAGTTATTCATATCTCAGTCTTCACATCTAGACAGTGAATTTTTTAAGAACAGAAATGGAGTCTCATCTCATTCTTCCTTATAATGCTGGTGCCTAACATGGTACCTAGTAGGCCACAAGCACATGCTGGGTCCTGTTAAACTAAACTGCTACGTGTGAAAACAAAGACTGGCTTTATTTATCTTTATTACTTTGGTGTAAAGAGTCTTCCTAAAGAGAGAAGGACAAGTCCTGCATTTTTGGCTTCCTTGTAGCCACTGCTCTCACATAATTTTAAAGCGGAGCTGTGACTGTCATTGTGGAGCTGAAAGACTCCACTGACTAATAACCACTTCGTATTGAATCATGTCCATATTTCTTAGCTCTCTGTCAGATTTTCCAGGGTCCCTTTCCCAACTGAACTTCTATTCTTCATGTACACTGTGCACTCCTTAAACTGGGTGACTTACTATTCCCCTCTTTGTTATTTCTGTGCTTTTGCTGGTGGCGTGTCTTGTACATGCTTTCACCATGGAACCTGACCCATCCTTCAGATAGCTAAAATGCTCCAGGAAGCTCTGTCATCTCCTTGACTGCTGCAGCCTTCACCAAAAGAAGTCAGCATCTCCCCATCTGAACTCTTACTAGCACTTGGACTGTAGGATAGCACTGCCCTACTAAGTGAGAAATTCCTCAAGAGCAAGGTTCTTGCCTTTGTTTTCTCTGCTGTTTTACATTAATTATTGCATCAAATATACATACATTGAATTAAATATAAAAATCAAATTTTGGTTTTTTAGCTTCAAGGAAACTGGTCAAAGGACGATGTTGTTAAAAATTCTTCCTCTACAGTGGTTTACATGGAAATTCTTAAATTCAGAAACTACGTAGGCTTAGACAGTGTATTTATTTCTAGAACTTCAGTTTAGGAAAGAATTTTTTTCCAGATTTATATTTATTTTTTAAAATATTTGTTTGAGAGAGAGAGAGCACGCACAAGCAGGAGGGGCAGAGGGAGAGAATCTCAAGCAGACTCTGTGCTGAGCATGGAGCCCGACGCAGGGCTTGGTCCCACCACCGAGATCACGACCTGAGCCAAAACCAAGAGTTGGGTGCTTAGCCGATTTAGGCACCCCCAGATATATATGTATGTTTATATATGTATTTATATATTTTTATTTATTTATTTATTTATTTATTTATTTATTTATTTATTTATCAGAGAGAGAGAGCACAAGCAGGAGGAGCAGCAGGCAGAGGGAGAGGGACAAACAGGCTCCCCGCTGAGCAGGGAGCCCAATGTGGGGCTTGATCCCAGGACCCTGGGATCGTGACCTGAGCCAAAGGCAGATGCTTAACCAGACTGAGCCACCCAGGCATCCAAGATTTATATTTACTTTAAATGTATTTACCATTCTTTGTATTGACTCTCCTCCTTTTCTAGGGCACTGTCTTTAACCTTGAATCAGAGGAGGAGGAATACCCTGGAATTGTTGCCGAAGATAGCAATGACATTTATATCCTGCCCAGTGACAACTCTGGACAAGTCAGTCCTCCAGAGTCTCCTACTGTGACTACTTCTTGGCAGTCAGAGAGCTTACCTGTTTCACTGTCAGCCAGTCAGAGTTGGCACACAGAAAGCCTCCCAGTGTCCCTAGGTCCTGAGTCCTGGCAGCAGATTGCAATGGATCCTGAAGAAGTCAAAAGCTTAGATAGCAACGGGGCTGGAGAGAAGAGCGAGAACAACTCTTCTAATTCTGACATTGTGCATGTGGAGAAAGAAGAAATTCCTGAAAGCGTGGAAGAGGCTGCCGTGGCATCTGTCATCCTGCCAACCAAGGAGCTGCGGGAGGCGCTCCCGGAAGCACCAGCTCCCTTGCTTCCACATACCACTGCCGCTTCCTTGCTGGAGATGAGGGAGCCCGACACAGAAGGGATGACAGTGGAGACAGTCAGCCCTGCTCCGTCTTCGTTCATGGAACTTGCTGAAGAAGAGAACTTGCTGAAGACAAAAGCAGCAACGGTTGAATCTGGTGAACTGGAAGAGGAGGTGACCCCCGCACTGGAACCCACAGCAACACTGCTGAGTGAAGAGGAGATGCGTGTGAGGAGAGGCGGCCTTCGAGAAGGCCCCTCCCCTGCAGGAGAAGGGAAGGCCATCCCGCTGTCTGAGGGCAAGTCTATCCTGCTGTTTGGAGGGGCCGCCGCCATCGCCATGCTGGCAGTGGCAGTTGGGGTCGCCCTGGCTCTGAGAAAGAAATAGCAGACTTTTCAGAAGAGAAAGGAACCAGAAAAGGGGTCAGGTTTTAGCTGTTCTGACTGAAGTTGAACCACCAACAGCTGACTTGGACATTTGTGGAACACTCTGGGATAATGGGGGACTTCTGCTCAACAAGGCAGTAGATTGATCCACATAGTAGGGCTTCGGGTAGAGAGCATTCACGTTTGTCTGATTTTAAGTCCCAAGGGCCGTGGCTCCTGCTAAATTCGGAATCTTATGCGTCAAGCACTCCCTCTAGAACAGGGTTTCTCAACCTTGGCATTAATGACATCATGATTAATTCTTCGTTGTAGGAGGCTGTCCTTTGCACTGTAGGATGTTTAGCAAGATCCCTGGCCTCTACCCATTAAATACAAGTAGCACCCTTCCCCCGGTTGTGACAATCAGAAATGTCTCCTGACATTGCCAAATGTCCTCCGGGGGCAAAATTGTTCCCGTGGAGAGCCACAGCTCCAGAGGGAAAGGGTTAATTTAGGAGAATCTGGGATAGAAATTCCCAGGCAAAAGGGCTTAGCTGTGGGCTCCTCAGCTACTGATTTGTTCCTGCCCCTGGAATTTCATCTTTCCTGGTGAACATGCTGCGTTTTGCAGCCATTCCTCTGTGGCTCCTCTTTTCTTCCCCACCTTCTCGGTCCTGTAGCATGAGGGTGCTCTCCCCTATGTCTCAGCTGCCTCTCAGGTACTACACGGCTCCTCTTCACCCCCAGGTGCTTTATAAGGCCCCATGGGAGAGTGCTTGGTCCGCACCCGTTAAGTCCCTGATGCTTCCTCCAGCTCCACCTTGTAAAGATGTTGCCGTTAGTCATCTTAAAAAAAATAAATATAAAAGAGACCTAGGGTTCCCTGCCTGTGGATGCGAGGGCAAGTAGCTGGCTAGAGAGCGGTATTTGTCTCATTTATAAGCAGGATGACTTAGATGGACGAGTGTCTTCTGGCCCTTTTGTGTGTGGCCACCCTTCTGAGCTTATGGTTAACTTGCTGGCAGCATCTCTGTTGCTGGATGGTCACTGTCTATAATCTGGGCTGTGTGTTTTCCCTTTATCTGGCCTCAGTCTTCTTACTGGTCAACCAGCCTCTCTGCGGTCTCTTCCCATGTGATAAGGATTTTCATACTTGGGCTTACAGAGCAATTGAATCATAACTCAATAAGAGTTATACAGAAAATCTCCCTAAATACCATTGAAATAAAAAGTAGGAAAAGAGAAGCTTGAATTTCTTGAGGCTACCCTTGAGATTCTAATTTGGCTTTCAGAGTTCAAGAATAAGACTTCTTCTTCCCTGAACTCTTTACAGTCCAAATGCCAGAGTGATAAACCAAAATGATTCTAATCAGTATGTGCTAGTTGAGAATCAGCATAACTTTCTTTCATCTGGCTGATCCCATCCCTAATGGGGGGGTGGGACTGTGTCTTTTCATGAGTGAGGGTCAGTGTCACTATGCAGGACACACATGCTTGAAACAGGTCATCTCAGATTTATCTCAGTAAATGTAACAAATTACTTTTTAGATCCTGAAATTTGTAATAAAATTACTTTACTATCCTGATCACCAAAACTTGATGTTTTAAATGTGCTTTCTTTTTTAAATTTATTTTTTTTAAATGAAATCTTCTCCCTAAAGCAATACTATTTAAAAGTTGGTCGAGGAAAGGTCTGAAGTGTGTTTGTCTGTTCAGTTTTATCATGCAATGTGTTTTTATGTTCTGAGTTTTAGTGTCTTAGGGAGTGATATTTTTTAAGGGTTTTGGTGCACTTTGATTAGGATAGCTAGAAGTGAGCGGGGGGAAATGGGATTAATGCAGTAAAGATTATTTTCCTCCTTGGACTCTGACAGTTGGCTCAGACATTGGGTTACTCTGTATTCTAATTGCTACTTTTGTGTTTGCATAGGGTAAGAGCAAACTGGTGAGCTATCTTGATTTTTTTTTTTCTTTTATAATAAAATTTTTTCCTTCCAATGTTCACACTTTTAAACTCTGGATCCTCAAATCCATTAGCTAAGACACATTTAAGTACTAAGAGAAGCCAGGTTCATTTTGGAGCTACTAAAAGGCCATCTGTGGCTTAGGATATTTGGGTCTGTGTTCTCCACAGAAGGAGCTGCCACGTGCGGTTTATCGTCCCATCTGTTGAACGTTAACCCAAAGTGATCCGGCGCATTTTATCTTCCTGGGTAATGGTTAATATTCTTTTCCATTGGCTTTCTCTAGAGTGATTTGTTGTTAGTTCCGAGTAATAGGAACGTGTCAGTGTCCCCATTCCTTCTTTACTTCCTTATCCTCTGCCTCTGGCAGTGGAAGGGAGTACCCTAGTAAGGACTGCTTCTTACAGCAGCTACTTTTGCTATGAAAAAAAAAAAAGGTTATTTCTCAACCTCCCACCTCCCTCTTTTTTGATGGCGCTGGTAGTAGGCCATTTCTTCTCCCCCTCCTAACTTACATTACATCTGAATCTAAAGTAAAAGGCAGATTCAGAATAAATCCAACTTGTTTATGGAGCTCAAGTGTGGAATTAAAAATATCACCATTTATCGTTCCTCATTCTTTGAACTATTCAGGAAAAGTTTGTGTAAGTCCTCTAGAATTCTTAATTGCTTTAGTGTATGTAATGATTTCTGAAAACTTGTCAAAAAGCCAGTGAAGATTTCTTGAGAAAAATACCAGAATTAAAGAATGCTATTTTATTCTCTCTGTATTAAAATAATAATAATTCTGGGCCCAAAGAAGTCAGTCAGTATCTACAGTGTGCCTTAGGGGACTCTTGTGATCATCACTGTCCTCTAGAAAGCTTTCTAGAAACCAAAAAGCAACTGTTGGCCAGCTGGTTCACACACTGACTGCACAAAGGCCTCCTTGACACCTGCCCTCGCCTGTGTTTCTTACCATCTCCTCTATCAAATGCAGCAGCTCCCTGGGTTTGTCCTGGGGGAATAAACAGTGAGCCTGGAGACGGGGTTTTTTGAACCACAGCTACCATTAATTTCTTGTGGAAATTAATGTCCACAGCCTTTGTGCTAATTCTATTAATAATACAAAAGTAATGCCTGATCCTTGCCTTTTTTCCCTAAAGGCATGACATGGACAAGTGTCATATGCACAGAATTTTGAAATTATTTTAAGAGATGCTTTTTAGAAATAAAAGGTACTCTAGATAAGATTTTTGTCCTTTCTTTTAATTTCTGAGGTCTTTTTACAGAAATTTATCTTTCAAAGAACTTGAGGTGGTGATCATGTTTCACAGAGAGGCTGTCGACTATTTGGTTGCTTTATAGAAACAGTTTCTGGCCTCTGAACCAATTTCCTCACAAGCATGACAGTAGTCCCTTTGTCTGCAGCTTCATTTCCTGTCGCTCAGTTACCCGCGGTGCGCCGCGGTCCAGGAGCAGATGGTCCTCTTTCTGATGGATCCTCAGAGGGTCGGTAGTAGCCTAATGCCTCTCACAGTGCCTGGTCATTCACCTCCCTTCAGCTCATCGCATAGGCACCTTAGCATCTTCCATCATGACGAGGGTGAGTATCAGTACAAGAAGATATTCTGAGAGGGAGAGACCACATTCACATAACTCATTACAGTATATTATTATAATTGTTCTATTTTATTGTTGTTTTGATCTCTACCGTGCCTAATTTATAAATTAAACTTTACCACAGGGATGGACGTAGAGAAAAAGTCATAGAGAGGGCTCGGTACTATCCGCAGTTTCAGTCATCCACTGGCGAGGATAAGGGGGCGCTCGCTACCCTATCTCATTTAAAGCCTCAGCAACACAGTACTAGAAGCTTTCTTTTCTGGAGGACTGAGATCTGCCATTAGTGATAACCTCCTCCTGTTACTCCATTCATCACTTAGGAGGTTCGACTGTGAGATGGGTTTGAGTTTAGGGTGCATATTTTTTTCTGTATTAGAATATCTTTTTCCTTAAAAAGTGTGGGTCATTTTAACAAATAATAGTTGAACATTTAGCTTGCTAGGGATTGTTCTAGAGCGCCCTTACATACCTTAGTCCATCTTCACAGTTGTAATTCATATTTGTATTCCTTATCCCCAGTTTACAGAGTGAAGAAACCTCAGAGTTTAATGACTTTTCAAAGGTCTTCTAGCATGGGAGAGGCAAAGGCAACGGTGATAATTTTTCTGACTCCAAGTCTAGTGCTTTTCTGTTTTTACCATTTTTGTGACCCTGCCAAGCAGGATTGGTAGGCTCCCTACAAATGGTTGTGCCAATCATACACTGCACTGGGGCGGCCAAGCTCACCCGACTGAAAGGAGATTTTTCTTGATTTGTATGATGGTTCCATATGGTCTAGTCCTAAGTACTGAGCATGTTCGAAGGTTATGTCCAGGCTTATTCCCAACTTCTGATTCTACCAGATGTTTTCCCCTTAAATACTGAATGAGGTACCTTATGGCTAAAGAATTAGCGGTTACTGCTGGTACAGATCTTTCATTAGCATTTTCAGCTAATGTGTTAGATAGTACGTCTTTCTGCTTGTAAACAAGGGTAAAGCAGTCTGACACAGGAATCTTCAAATGATTTGAAGGCAGCACCTTGACACTTTCTCTCCCTTAGTCTGTTCATTATTTTCCTTTTCCCCTGCCCATGCCATGAGTCGTGAAGTGGGGTACTTCTAGGCGTTGCTTGGCCTCTCAACACCCAAGAGGTCACCAACTCAAGACAGCTGGTCAGGCAGCACCACAGGCACATCTGGCTCAGAAGCTGACACCAGGTGACCTTCCAGTGAAAAATTTTCTGTTCTATTCCACAGCACACTGGGGAATGTAAAGTTAATAGTAGCCTTGGCTATAGAACACCCATTTCTTAAAATTTAGCCACTATTTCTTAGTTACCTCATATATACAGCTCCAGAGAATGGAAACGGTCAGTCGTGTAACTAAAATATTAATACATCCCGTCTTCCTTTATTTACACAAGACTAGCCTCTGCCTGGCTTGCCGTGTTCCTGTGAATTAAAACCAGTAGTGTTCTCTACATGTTTATGTTTACACTGCAATAGTTCTAGCCAGGCAGCTGCTCCAATCGCTAGCTCAGGTTGGAAATGTTCTCAGGGATATTTGCAAGGCCTTGTAATAAGTTAAAAAGTAGCAGCTGGCTTAAGGTGATCCTTGCCCCCTTCTCACCTTCTTAGGGGAAATTTTAATGTTGCACCACTAGGAGAAATTGGCTAATCGGTGTATTATGAATAAAAGTTTTGACATAGTTTACTAAGTTTGTTCCAGGAATAAAAGGAAGTTGAAGTACAATTTTTCCTATTACAGAGTCTGGAATAACTTGGTTCCTGGTTTCTAGCAAGACAATTGTATTATATAGATTGGTCCTTGGCCAGCACCAAAAGATAGAATATTTTTCCTAGACCTGTGTTTTTCCTGCTATCCTACCTAGTCTTCCATTTCTCTTTTCCTTCACATTAAAAGTGCCTCTTCCTACCTCGTTCCTTGACCGAGTTCAATTTATTATTGGTTCTAATGTTCTCATCTCCTCAAAATTACTGGAATTAAATGGTAATTTTGGTAATTAACATAAGCATTTCACTTAAATGCATGTATTTCCTTTTTCTGTATGAATTTCCATTAGCTCTCCTCACTAACAGCTCTGATTTGCTCATTTATGTGGGTTATTCTCGCTCCTCCTTTTCCCTCCTGGTAATCTGCCTTTCGTCCAGTCTACTCTTCATCAGGGAAAAGGAACAAAATTCAAATCTATGAATTGTGCTTTCTGTTAGAAGCAGTGTGTTGGGGAGAACACATTGGAAATTGAAATAAAGTGAGATCTGAAGATAACTGATGGACTCCTCTTTCTATTCATATGGTAACCTTATGCCCTTGACCTTGGAGGGATCATTGCAGATAATTTTGTGGTCTTCGTAAGTACACACTTGCTTTGCCCTCAGGTTCTGAAAACATGATCATAACATCCAAAGGACACTCCCTATTCGGGTTTCCAGTCAGCAATGAAATTGTTAGGAAATAAAAGCAGACTCTGGCGCTGTGACCCTTTAAGGCAGTCCCGAGCATCTCCGCAGTCCGTGCTAGATCCTGCATGGTGAGATCAGGAATGATTTAACCTTCTGAATAGACCACATAGTCCATCTGACTTTCAGATATGCCAAGCATCTCCTGGAGAAGAAAGCTGTTTCTCTTTAACCAAGGAATTTCCATCACTTAATTCAAATATTTAAAAAACCAGGATGAAAAACATTGAATTAAAAATTTTCGATCATATCCATGAGGATTATGTTCCCAGCGTAAAATCCACCAACTTCCAGGATATGCCTGAGTCATTGTGGCTGGGATGTGCCCAAGACTGGAACACTTGTTTTTGATACAGTGGACTGTTCATGATGCTGGCTTGGGAAAAAGAGGTGATAATTTTGCTTTAAGGCTGAGAAAGTCTAACTTGGCCTGAAAAAAAATGTACACCAAAATGTGTATATAAGCTGCATTAAAATGGTGGCCTACTGTTAAGCAAAACAATGGCAGGTGAAGGTGCTGTTCCTAAGTATTATGAGAATCTGGGATTGTTGTTTTAGAGCCCTTTTCTCTTCCATTAGAGTTGACTATTTGTATTTAAATTGTTCCTTTTGGAAGAAAGTCTCTGTCCCTAGTGAGAATCTGAACACTTTGATACATGTGTGCATGAGTATGTATGTGATTCGATTTGTGTCCACTGTACTATGAATCCTTCCAAAAAAAAGAAGTTGTTCTTTCGTAACGGCATTACTGGAAGATTTCCAAATGGTGGTCTTCATACTGCACAGCTTTTAGTATCTAAAACATACTGCAGATAACCAGGTTGTGATCCAGCCCTAGTACGGTATGTATTTTTTTTTTTTTTAAGATTTTATTTATTTTTTTGACAGAGAGAGACACAGAGAGAGAGGGAACACAAGCAGGGGGAGTGGGAGAGGGAGAAGCAGGCTTCCCGCAGAGCAGGGAACCC